GAATCTGAGGGTGCAAAAAAAAATCTAAATATTGAGAAAATCATCTTTAAAGTTGTTCAAATGAAGTTCTTAGCTATGCATATTACTAATCAAAAATTAAGTTTTGATATATTTACGGTAGGACATTTACAAAATATCTTCATGGAACATGATCTTTACTTAATGCCATAATGATTTTTGGCATAAAAGAAAAATCTATAATTTTGACCCATACAATGTATTTTTGGCTATTGCTACAAATATACCCCAGCGACTTAACACTGCTTTTGTGCTCCAGGGTCACATTTGCTGATTTGGTGTTTAAGAAACATTTCCTGTTATTATCAGTTTTTTTTTTTTTTTCAAGATTTTTCGATGAATTAAAAGTTCAAAAGAATAACATTTATTTGAAATAGCTAACTTTTTTAACAATTTCAAAAATCTTTACTTTTGATCACTTTAATGTGTCCTTGCTAAATAAATTAATCTCTTAAAAAAAACTAACTCCAAACTATAATTTACATGCCGTTTTAGTAATAATTTATGCACATGAAGCAAATAGTTGCAAATTGTCCCATGTTTGCATCTGATTAGATTATTTTATTTATTTTTTTTTGTAAAAAAAAAAAAGAAAAAAGTAAAATGCTTTGTAGAATGAAAGTGAAATAATTTCAAAACTGTTTATCAATTGATGTAAAAATAAGATGTTGAACTTTATTTAATTTTATGGAATAACTGCTTAATAACCATTAGATAAAGATAACCACTGCAAAAATCACTCTGCGTGAAATTAATTAATAGCCATGACCACTAGATGTCAGTAGATGCCAGTGCATTGGCCAGAGCTTTACCTAGTGAGATGTGACTTCTTCAGAATTCCCTGTTATAAACAAGAGTGTTATACATCAATCACTCAGAAGAGAAATCTTTACTCTGTGTGTGTTTCTTCAGTGGAAGTATGATCAAATGACCGCCACCTACCTTTTACTGCTGGCTAAAAAGCGGCAAGGCCGTCCTGTGCGTCTGAGAGCAGAATGCCCCGTGATTGACCGCATGTACTCTCCTCTACAGGACATACAAGTGAGTTCAGTATTCACACATTTAGGAGCAATATGAATGCACAGTGGCCAGCTCATGCTACATTTATTATAAAAAATGTGTTCATTTATGAATATTACTGTAGTCATGTTTTGCTTGCTGTGTAAATGCTTATGTAGCTGAAGTCGTTGACAGGAGTATGATTTTGTGTATGTGTCTCAGCTGAAGAAGAGTCAACGCCCATCGTGCTGCTTAATATTTTTGTGGAAACCATAATATACTAGGCTTATTCATTTATTTATTTGTAAAAAACATAATGCTTTTATTCAGACACAATAAATTGATCAAAAGTGATTTTTTTTTCCATATAAAGCTGTTTTTTAAACTTTATATTCATCAAAGAATGCATCATGGTTTCCACAAAAATATTAAGCAGCAAAAACTTTTCAACATGGATAATAGTAAGAATCATTATTAATATTTGAGCACATATAATATTTGATACCTAAGCAGCAAATCAGCATATTAAGAATGATTTCTGAAGGATCATGTGACACTGAAGACTGGAGTAATGATGCTGAAAATTCAGCTTTGATCACAGGAATAAATAGCATTTTAATTGAAGGAAATGACCGCTGAAATCTGAACAAAAGCATTGATAGTGATTTATAGTGGTTCTGGAGATAAGGTGTAATCAGGGCTCTCACTGCTGGCTACACCTGGATCTTTCCTCTTACCTTCATTTATTCACCTATACACTCATTTTCTGCAAACACTGGAATTTTGAAGTCTTTCAGCCCTGTACTGCAGATGCTTAAATGGCATATCTAGAGTTTGAAAGAACATACCTAAAAAGAGTTTTTTTGTGTGTGTTCCTACATTGTCAATTTGTCATCTAGCATCTATAGTTTGATTCAGTTGACCAAAGTCTGAGTATGTGTCTCTATATGGGCACAGTGTGTCTGGGGAAAAGTCTTCATGTCCCAACATCCACTGTGTCCACCTCGTTACTGTCACAAACCACCTCCTGCACTGGAACGGACAGGTGCACACTGGGGACAGAGAGAGTGTGTGTGTGTGTGCGTGCGTGCGTGTCCGAGACAACTCCCGAAGCACATACTGACAGGTGTACGCTGTTCCCAGTGCTGCGGCAGCATGTAGTGACACGTGTTTATCCTGTGTGTGTGCAGGAGCAGGCAGTGCCACTAAAGAAGTGTCCCGCAGGAGAGAGATGGACCAACAGCAGAGCGGCCAACAAGGAGAACTGGATATACTGGCTTTCAGCCCCGAGAGAAGGTAGAGAACTTCCTGTATTTTGAGAGGAAGAATGGAGTAGAGGAGAACTGTGGGATTTAAAGGGGCCCTATTATGCTTTTTCAACTTTAGTTAGTCTGTAATGTTGCTGTTTGAGCATAAAAAAGATCTGCAAAGTTACAAAGCTCCACTTCAAAAGGATATATTTTATTTAACAGAAATCACTTTTCAAAAACTACAACGAACGACTCGTTTGGACTATAACGCATATTTTCTGGGATTTGTGATATCACAAATATCACTTTTAAAAAAAACATTTTGCTTTTTTTTTTTTTTGTTTTTTGAGATTTTTAAATATATTTTTTAATGTTTTTATTTTTTAGTCTCTTATGTTCACCAAGGCTGCATATTTTTTTTAAATCAAAAATACAGTAAAAACAGTAATGTGAAATATTATTACAGTTTAAAATAACTTTTCTATTTTTATATATTTCTGTGATGTCAATTTTCACATTTCACATGTAATACAGTAATACTGAATACAGAAAACAGTTGTACTTAATTTTGTGGAAACGGCAATAATTTTTTTTGATGAATAGAAACAGCATATATTTGATATTATATATATATATATATATATATATATGTGTGTATGTATGTGTGTATATATATATATATATATACATACATGCATACATACACACACATATATATATATATACATACATCTATATATTTATATATTAAACAGTGTAAAAATGTTTACTGTCACTTTTGATCAATTGTCCTTGCTAAATAAAGTGTAATTTTTGTTAAAAATCATCTTATTGACCTAAAATGTTTGAACAATAGTGTAATTATTTTTATTTTTCATGTCCCTTTTGACTCTTTTGAGTTAACAGGCCATTTTTTGCTTGATCTGTATGACCTGATGTCAAAACCTTCTTTGCATTTGAAATGAGATGCAGCACTTGCTGCACTTACTCTTGCAGATTGCTGTTGAGTCATTTATCATTTTAACTAACCCTATTCTTCAGTAATATGATCTTGGCAAAGCCTGTGTCGCATTGTGGTAGATTTGCAGTTATAGAAATGTGCAATTATATTCTAAACTGCATTTCCCACATGTCCAGGTCTCGATCTCTGGACCTGGCTGGCTGTCAGGTGGACAGTGGGCAGAAGCGGAAGGGAGGTAAAGTGTTTGGCAGTCTGGAGAGAGGCCTAGATAAAGTCATTACAATGCTCACACCCAGCAAAAAGAGAGGACCTCGAGATGGACCACGCAAAATTAAGGTATCATTCGTCTCGTTTTTACATTTGTGCTTAGTCTTTAAGATTGTATTGTTTGTCTGTTGTTCTATTGAATTGCCTAAAATGTCCTTGTTTTTTCATATTCCAATTATTTAGAATTATGATTTGGCATGTTTGTCACTCAGTTGCAACCAGGCACATTGTTAACTAAACTTTCAGAAGGGATAGGTCATCATTTATTTGCTCTCATGCTGTGAACCTGTATGATGACGACTCTTTCATTGAATGCAAAAGGAGATGTTTAACAAAATGTCCAAGCTGCTCCCTTCCATATAGTGGATGTGGATGTTGTCCAGATATAGACAAGCTCCAAAAAAAAAAATCTTTTTGACTCCAAGGTCTGCCATTGTCCACAACAATATTTGAAGGCCCCATGACATTTCCAGTTTTCCATGATTTTCTGGATAAGGATTAAAGATAAGGATTTTTTTTTTTTAATTTGTATTTTTTTTTACTCCCAAGTTCTACAAATATTTTAGAGCTTGGCATAATTAGAAAAATGTATATTCCTTATATAAATTCCAATGGAGTTATAAGATTTTATTAACTTACATGATTTTTCCTCTCTAGAAATCTCACTTTTATCTCACTTCATCATATATGCAGGTTCTCGAGACTGTAGGAAGCCAAATTTCTTCAAAGAAAATAAGTTGTTGTTGAGGGGTTAAATTATAATAATATCTTGATGCTGAGTTGTCCCAGCTTATTTTAATGCTTAAATTCCCTGGTTCATAACCACTGCCTGAAACCACACACAAAAAAGAGAGAATTAGACCAAAAAACATGTGTGCTCTGTTTGAGGAACAGACTGAATTTTATTTGAGGTCAGTGGAAGAATGAAGGTGTGAAGAAATGATAGAATATATATATATTTTTTGGTTTAACTGTCACTTTAAACGGACATTTCACCCCCAAAAAAAAGAAAATTCTGTCATCATTTACTCACTCTCAAGTTGTTCCAAACCTGTATGTGTTTCTTTGTTTTGGTGAACACAGAAGAACATATTGTGAAGAATATGGGTTACCAAACAGTTGCTGGACCCTATTGACTTCCATAGTATATATTTTTTTTAACTATCCCATAAACATTTGCTTCATGTGTCCATATTTCTTTTTCATTTCAGGTAATCTTCATAATGCGCATGTAGATGTTTGTCAGTGACATATATATATATATATATAAACTCTTCCTGTTTTTTAGGCTCAATACAACGTGACACTCACCAGTCAGACTAATGCTGACCAAGTGCTCAATCAAATTCTCAGCATTTTACCAGAGAAGAATGTGGACTTTGTTCAGAAGGGGTAAGTTAAACTCTTACATTAAGTGTTTCCTGAAATGGCAATTCAAATGAGTTTTTCTGCTAAACCAGTGGTTCTCAACCAAGGGGACGGGGCCTCAGCAAACCTCAGCAGTATTTTAATTAATAATTATTATTAATATATTAAAATTATTATTAATATATTAAAATCTAAATTAAATGCTAAAAAAAATTTAAATTAAATTTTACATCTTATATCCAATATTTATTTTTATTTTCCCTCAATAACTATTATTTTTATTGAAGAACATAGTTCTGGAATATAGAACATAACTTGAAGGGGGCGCCCTTCAAATATTGTTTTGGAAAACGGGGCCTTTGAGTCAGAAAGGTTGAGAACCACCGCTCTAAACAAAATAACTTGTTAACTTGGTTAAATTGTTATATGGTATCATAAGGTCCTCTTTTTCTGTTAGCTATACTCTGAAGTGCCACACACAGTCAGACTTTGGAAAGGTGACCATGCAGTTTGAGCTGGAGGTTTGTATCCTGCAGAAGCCTGAGGTGGTCGGGATCCGTCGACAGCGGCTCAAAGGTGACGCCTGGGTGTATAAACACCTGGTAGAGGACATCCTCTCCACCTCCAGCATCTGATGTCGCTCTTGTTTGCCCATCTGAGTTTAATGGGGTAGATGGAGTCTGTTTGATGTCCATTACAGAATAACCTCCAGTTCTACTTTATATTTCATTTGACCATGTCCATTATTCTTTGGCATGTGCAGGAGGTGGTACAGTATTATTTTGTCATGTTCTGCCCTTGATAGAAATGCAAATATTTTTGTCACTTTATACTGTACATCCTTCTAATTTAGCAATAAGCAGTACTCGTATAGCGTTATGGGAGCGATTTGAAATTAAGGTTTTTGAGGAAAACATTCCAGGATTTTTCTCCATATAATGGACTTCAATGGGGACCAACGGGTTAAAGGTCCAAATTGCAGTTTCAGTGCAGCTTCAAAGAGCTCTACCCGATCCCAGCCGAGGAATAAGGGTCTTATCTATTGAAACGATCAGTCATTTTCTAAAAAAAATAAAATAAAATTACATCGATATACTTTTTAACCACAAATGCTCGTCTTGCACTAGCTGGACTTTACGCATTACGTCGTCACGTTGGAAAGGTCACGCGTGATGTAGGCGGAAGAACCGACCCAGTGTTTTCAAAGCGAACGTGCAAAGAAAGTCAAACGCCTTTTACAAAAAAAAAGTAAAACAACGATGTCGGACGATTTTGAAGTTGGAGGAGAAAATGAAAATACCCAACCTTTCTGAACCGGAGTACACAGACGAAGAGCTAACCGCGCGTGACCTTTCCAACGTGATTACGTAATGCGGGAATTTGTGGACGCGCATCGCAGACCTAGTGCAAGACGTGCATTTGTGGTTAAAAAGTATATAATTTGTTTTGTTTTTTAAGAAAATGGCCGATGGTCAGCAGTGCAGGACAATGACATGCTCTTTGTCCATTTAAAAAACAGCTGTGTTAGAGCAAGATTTAAGATTAGTTAAACAAACAGACAGAATGTCAGACTTCTTTATTGCTTACTTGACTACGGGCTATTAACTCTATAAACAGGCAAAGACTGTAGCTTCTAACAGCAAATAGATGAATACATGAACAAATAATATTCACACATCAATGACACCTTTTCTGTCACATTGAGTTTAGAGGTAGGATACCCTTTTGAAAAAAAGTACACTTTAGCATACTTGTAAAAAGAGTTAGCCTACTTATTACAGAAATGATATACTTTAAAATAATCTACTTAAGTGTGAATTGAATGTAATGTTTTTAGACACTTGTGTTAACTGCAAATAAATGAAAATGATTTTTTTTTTACTTTAGATTAGACTTAATACATCTTAATGTTTATTTTCATAGTGTACTTTTGAAAGCATGCCAAAAGATTAAAACATTTTACAGTACTTTAAAGTCTTAATTTGACAATTACAAAGAGCACTTAAAAAAAAGTGTAATTTGTGTTAGAAACAGTCAAGAAATTGTACTCCCTTTAATAACACCATTTTATTTATTCATATGATCTGGTTTTTTTTTTAAGTACTACTTGCTGCTACTACTAATGCACATTTAATACAGTTAAGAGCATTACTTTTTCACAAGGTAGATGCTTTTCTATAGTTTGGGAATAATATAAGAGTAATAACTGGGAAAGTTTGTCATTGTGTAGCAAGCACCAGCATCAGGAAAGTTTATTTTTAAGAAAGATCCCTGATCCAACCTTATAGAGTTACTCAAACTAAAATGGAAAATTGTTTTTATTGACTGATTCTGTCTTCATGTTGTTCCAAACCTGTGTGACTCTCTATGACAGAACAAAAACGAGATCATTTAATAAATATCTGGGTGAAAACATCAATATATAGTAGGCCTGTACATTTCAATGCTAAATTTAAAAAAAATTAAAAAAACAATTGTGTCAGTGATTGCCCCTTTCATGTTGGTGCATAGAAAGATTTCTGCCACCTACTGGACTGGAGTGTGAAGCGCTGGATAGCGCACAGGAGAGTCTTCTGAAGAATGAAAGTTAGTCATACAAGTTGGAACAACATGAGGGTAATGACGACCGCACTTTCTTTTTTGGGTTTAAGAGTTTGCGCAGCACATTCTGTGAAACATTTTATTGAAGGATGGGGTAGCACCCACGTCAAACCCGCAGCTCACAAGTAACTAAAGAACACTTGCATAGAAATGTTCCATTTAATTTCAGGGGTCAGAGAGAAGGTGGAAATTGACTAACATTATATAAGACAAAAAAATGTATAATGTTTGTTTGATATGACCAGGAAATTTGATGACCATGAAACTTACAAGTTTTAACAAGTATTTTTACTTGTTGCACAGAATATTTGTGAAAAGAGAAATGATGTATGTAAACTTGGTGGGTGCCAGTGTATCATAAAGATTTATTACATTGAAACTGCTCATTATCATGTAGACTGGACTTACTCAGTCAAGCAGAGAATTAAAATCCCTAATTGTGCTGTCATCCTCTCTTTCTTCTCTCTTTCTCTCCCTCCTTGTCTCTGACCCCCTCCAACTCTCATTCTCACCCTCTCTTCCTGTCTGTTTTGTCTGATCACTTCCTCTGGACTGTCTATCTTTAATTTTACCTTCCACATTCATCTCCTCCATCTCTTCTTGGTCTGTTTTTCATTTCTCTCATCTTTCTCTCTCTTTACGCCCCCTCTTTATATCTCTATCCATTGAATGGCTTTCTGTCTTACTTTCCCTCCTTTTCCCCTCCTTTATAGTACAATTTATATTATTAATTTTTTTTTATTAATCACCTATTAAATATTATTACTATACTGTACAATAATAAGCATACAGTTAAGTATTGTGAAATTTATACCTTTCACCATTTTTTTAAGCATAAATGTACAGTATTAAGGGATTTTACAAGTATATTCATCCTTTTAGTGGGGAATCATTTTGGATGTGTTAAAAAGGACGAATCTTTTAATCCCCTCCAATTCTTTGGGTCATATTCTCTCTGTTTCTTTCTTTTTTTCTGTCTGTCTCTCTCTCTCACGCGCGCACACACACACACACACACACACACACACACTTCCTGTTCTCTCCTTTTCAGTAACATTAGAGCTTAAACCAACAAGGTTAAAGTCCTAAGACCTCTTTCAGAGCTGTGTGTGTTTGTGTGTGCCTTTGAGCTACAGAACACTAATACTCACACACACACTCACACAGTCTCCGCTTGTAAGCAGGAAACAAACACACCAAAACAACAAAAGCCCAGAGGAAATTGAAAAGTATCAAGGAAAAATCCTCTATTCACTGCTGCACAAAATGCTCCCGGTGGCTATTTCAGGTGTCCGGTCTGTGTGTGTGTGTGTGGCTTTATTTAGCTATACTTTGGGGAAATTGTTCTAATAGGTTGGCTCGGTCGGACAAAACCTCCCTCTTGGACATCTAAAGGTAAAAGTAAAAATATATCAATTAAATGTTTTATTTAATATTGAATTTAAATAGCTAAAAATGCAATAGAAAAAAATACAAACGGGTCCGTGATCATCTGGGGGTCCCAATGTGGTGCTAGTGCTAGAAAACTTGAGAAGTAAAATAGAAAGATTTATCTTTTTTTTTTTTTTAAGTGTTAGTTCACCCAAAAATGACAATTCTGTCATTAATTACTCACCCTCATGTCGTTTCAAACCCATAAGACCCATAATCTTCGGAACACAAATTAAGATATTTCTGATGGAATCTGAGAGCTGTCTGATCCTGCATAGACAGCAACACAACTGAAATATTCCCAAGTCCAGAAACGTAGCAAGGAGATCTGTAAAATAATCCATGTGACATCATTACAAGTTGTTTGAACTGAAATGTGTGTTGGCAGTGTGTGTACACAACCACCCTATAATGATAAAAATCCACCCAGTGTTTTTTTTTTTATCTGGTTAAATGTTTTCCCCTTTCTCAAATCGAGCCGATCTCAGATGCCTGTCTGTGTGACGTCACACTGTCAGGCCCCTCCCACGATAGTTTGATTGACAGTAGCGTTTCAGCACAGACTGGACTGGTGTCTTACCTTAGCTCCGCCCTGAGTGAGCTGTCATCAGTCCGCCATTGTTTCACCGCTGGAGCAGATGTAGACAAGAATGACTCCTAAGCGATTGAGGTGTTCTGTTGTTGGATGTAATAATGAACATAGCAGTCGTCATTTACTCCCGACATCTGAGCCGCTGAACTCGCAGTGGTCGATCTACATAAATGGGTCTATGTTCGCGCGTATCATTCATGATCCAACCTCATCTACAGAAGTGAGTATAATGTTTTGTAATGAATCTTTGCAAATCGCCTTTCCTAATAATGTGCTAATTAGCCAGTTTCACGATGAATGGGGCTAAAGTAAACATGCTCGGAAGAGAGGGGCGGGGTCAGCATAGCTCATGAACATTTAAAGGAAAATGCTACAAAAACGGCTTGATCTGGAAAGAGCTGTTTTTGACAGAGTAAAAAATGTGTTTTTTACACTACCATTGAGAAATTTTAACCAAACTATGTTACAGACTTTTCATTAAGACCCTAAAGAATCATATCAACTTGTGAAAAATGGGCATCCTATGACCCCTTTAAGATATGATTAATTATTAAAGTTTTTTTATTTTTATTTTTTTATTAAAGTTCATTTACAGAATTTGATGTCCTACTTTTATTTTTGTTTTGTTTTACCTTCCAAAGACTGGTAACAATAATAAAACATTTGTGAAAAATTTTAGTATTTAAATGTAATTATTTTCCAGGTTTATATATCCAACATTACACAAACAGTGTGCAGATATGATGACAATTTTCTTTAGCTTCAGTGCAGTATAAATAAACAGCATAAACTCACAAAACATGATGATGATCTCACTGCGATCTCCCTCAAAAAAAAATTTAAGTTATATATTTTCATGCATTGTTTTCTAAATTACGTAACTGGCTTAATTATGTCATTAAGATCTCTAATTATTGGCGACATCAGAAATGGATATTATATAATAGATGCTTTTTTGAACATTTTAGCAATTTAAAAATATTAAAAAATGATTTTTTTACACGGCACCCCTGCTCTCGACAGACGGCACCCCGGTTGGGAAACACTGAGTTAGACGATTAGATCAACATTTGTTTTAACCCTTTAATGTGCATGCAAATGTTCACAAAACGTTACTCTAATGTGCATTTTAGAAATAAGAATAGAGAAAAAGATTATGAGAGGAGAGTGGAGGCTGTGTGTGTAAGCAGGATGACAGCAAGCACTCAATGGCCACACGTGTAAGTAATATCTTATTAAACCACAGTGCGTACTGTAATA